GAAATTCCATTTATAACAATTCCATTGGGAATGTATTCATCATGGCAGGTGATTGAACACAGGGATATGTTGCCCAGAGAAGCTGTGGAGTATCCTTGCAGGTGCTCAAAATCAGACAGGATCTGGACCTGAGCAACCTGTTGTTGATGACCCTGCCCTGGGTTGGATTAGATGACTTCCAGAGGTGCTTTCCTGGCTCAGTCACTCTATGACTCTGTATGGAACTGTGATTGTTCCTGTAGTTAAACAGGGCCATAATTCTGAAAACAAAATATTCTTTACCTATTTGCTGAAGGACAAAGAAAGGAAGAGGAACTTAATCTTTGACATTTTTTTCAGGTTTTGTTATTCTCTAGCAATGATTGCCTACGAGTCCTAAACATGTGCCTAAACAACACATGAAAGTCTATAATAAAATTAAAATTACATCAGCTAATGGAAGATATCAGTATTACACTGATTATAGATTTTCTGACTGTGGTATAGTTAATGTACTTGCGGTTAAAAAAAAATCACATATAGGAAAGATTTTTAGTCATCATTTTTAAAAATCTCCTTTTAATCAGATTGCTCTTTCTTTTCTTAATAGAGTCATTTCAATTATTTCTAAGAAATTCCCTGTAACTATATAAGCAGCATTGGAAGAAAAGGTCATGTAAGTTCTCCGCCTTTCAACCCCTTTGGTTTCACAGTTTCAAAGAGTCACAACAAAACATCTTGCAACAGAACAAATAACTGGATATTCTTTCAGCATTCAAAAGATACCGCATTCTCAGATGAGTGTGTGGAAATACTTCCATATTCTCAGGTTTTTATTTGACATTCAAGAGACCCCAGTACTGAGGGAGCTTTGTGGTTGCAATATTTCTTTGATTGCTTTTGCATCAAACCAAATGGTTCTGAAAGAGGCTGATGCATAATATTTGAGGTAAAGCCTTATTGTTTGAAACACATTCTTCTGTTCGCTGAGCTTTGTTTCTTCAAGATATAGCGCTTTAATACACCCATTTTCTCTCCATTCCCTTGAATTCATTGCTGATGACAGTCTTCCCACTACTTCCCTACTTCCCACTAGTCCCACACTAGCAAAAGCAGTGTTGCAGTCAGGATGTAAGCTTTGAAAACAACTACGATTTGACTAGTTTCAACACAGCAGATGGTGTGACCACACAGTTGTGAGTTTAATCAAATTAAGAGGAATTGCAGTCTCTTTTGTCTGCCTCTATTACCTCTTGTTTTCAATCTATATCATATTGATGGTGCTACCTGTTTTAGTCCAGGAGGGTGTAACTCTTTCAGACTTCTCTGATGTGGAGATCTTCTCCAGTACCTGGGTGTTCAAATCCTTTATGTTGTTGATTGTGATCTAACATCTTCTGCAAAATAGCAAAATAGCATGCAAATGACATGAGACTTTTGCACGCACCCTGATACCATCAGTGATAACTTTGTTCTCAATCATCTTATAGACCCTTTGTTTACTGATGTTCTTTGTACTAAAGTTCAAATATTTTGGAATGAAAATTAATGGGGGAAAAATTGCACAAGAAGGCCCCCATCTCAGCCTTAGTCCTTTTATGAACAACATCTGCAGAACGTAATACGAAACAAAAACATCTGTTTCCAGTAGCTTTGCCATTCTGAGCCTTTCTAGAGACTCATAAAAACCTGAAGTCAGGCTCTTTAGGAAATTCTCTTTTTTTTTTATTATATAGATAGCCCTGGGCTAACTTAATAAGCAGAGGTAACATACAACAAAGTGGAACAAGTATAGGTAGACTGAACTATAGAAAACTTTTTTCATCTTCACTGCTCCTGGATGAAGAATTTTTGAGTTGAAATTAAGATTGAGGTCTTGGATACCTAATGAGGCAGAAATCACAAAACATTTCAATTTCCAGTGGCAACACAAATTTTCACACCAAAATTTGCTGGAAAGTCAGGGCAAACTTTTCAATATATCTATTAGTTTCATCTAGTCTATGGCAACGTAATATACTGGAGATATGATTATTTACCTAGCAGACCTGTATGCTAGTTCTTCTAGCCTACTTTGTATTTCCCCCTAGAAAGCCATTAAATGCTGGGTAACATTTCTCTGCTATGGTAAATAGCTGTGGTGTTCGAATGCCCCTCTGAATGCATTTAAGTACTGATGAAAAAAATATGTGAAAATTCCTCCTTTAAGAATTTCAGATAAAAAACATTTACTGTTAGCCAAAATTCTCTTTAGTGTTTAGGCCTCTTGCACAGGCAAAATTTCTCAGTGATTTCAATGCATGAGCAACATCTGAGTTCATGATCATGCAATAACAGTAACACTGTAAGAGATAGACTTGTATACTGGTGATGTACTTCCCTTTGCTCAGATACAGAAGTCCCCACCCTGTGATTTGTATAATTGAGAGCTTTAAATCATTTTAGAGAACACTGTGCTTCACTGAACACTTTTTACAGAGTTCTTGAGGCCTAAATAATGCCAGGTGAGAGAAAGGGGAGCTGATATTTTCCCATCATCAGAAATTAGGGATGTAGGAATTGATTCTCCTTTACCTCACAGTTTAGCAGCTAGAGGACTCACAGGCTGCATAGAAGTCAGTTTCTTATTACTCTTTGTTTTAGTGAGAAGGACCTCTTATATTCATTAAGAACCACTGTGTTTTCATGCATGCTGTCTTCACCCTTCTTTTGAAATGCAACTCTTTCTCAAAAATAAAGCTCTTTCAGACTGGCTGACTCAGAGGAGGAGGAGGATATATGGCTCTGCAGCCCACAGTTGGCCTACCAAAATGAGGAATGATCCTTTTTTCCATGTACTACATCACACTAAAGAGACACTGGATAAAACATCTGTCTACGCCAAGACAAAACAATATAGATAATACATACCCCTGTCCATCTTACTATTGCAAGTTTAAGCTCTTCCTGAGCTTTCTGAAGGAGTCATATGGGAGTCTAATGGCCTTTCTAAAGGAGTCATATGATTTATATGTATAACCAAGCTTATGTAATTGGCAGATATTAGGGACTCCTCACCTTATATGGGGTGCTTCCTTTGGAAACCTCTTTAATTGCCTAGTAATACAGACATTTAATACTTGGATCAATCTCCCTCTCTTTCTTCTTACAAGTTCTGTTGCTCACAATTAATCAACCCATGTCATTTTGTTATTGAAGCTGAACATGACCATAATCTTCCCTGTAACAACTATCCAAGAGCACAGTCATAGGGGCTACTTTTTAACAGATATCTTGCACAGAGCAGTATCAATCAAGAAACCATTTCCAAAAAAAATTGTAGTCTTTGAACATATCGAGATAAGGAACAGTGGAGAACAAGAATGCAAGATATAACCATGAGAGAATAGTTGTCCCCCTCCTATGTATAGAATTATTATATAATTCAGAAAGATAAATAAATATATTCCTTTAGTCTCTCTTCAGAAAACATTTTCAGGCTGCTTAGATATACAGAGACATTCGTTTAACATGTTGCGTGTTATTTCTTTCTCTTGTTCACACTTCTCTTAGACTAGAAAACCAGAAGTTCCGGTCAAGGGAGAGGCAGGCACAAACCCTATCATTAACCATATCATTTCAGTTTAAGAAATCACATGACTGCACTAGGAAGCGGATGCAGGTTCCTCAGCTGCAGCCCATGATGGAGAAATGAGAGCACACTAGCAGGTTTTGGGGTGCTGGAGAGGAGTGGGTAGGTACTGCTGCCTCCCACTAATCCTACTCCATGACTGCTGTAGCATCTGAGCACTGTGGATACTCAGTGGCTCTCTGTGTTTTTTGGTAGCACTTCAGGGGAAGACGGAGGCAGAGCCAGCTGCTCTGCTGCCCCTTCCCCTTTTGGTGTTGGGTGCAGAGGAAAGTGGGCTTTGCCCATCTGCTGCATTCAGATGAGGAGGAAAGAAACACCAAAACAGCTGCAGCTTCTCATCTTGCAAGTTCAGGGCTTCTAGGCAAACTTGCCACGCTGCAAGTGTGGATGCGTGAAGGGACAACTTGTTGTACAGAGCAAGTGTACACCTGCTATTCTGATACACAAAACCTTGTGCCAGGAATTGACAAAAAGAAATTATGTGGGAGCAAGGCATACAGGTCACTGACCAGGAATGGGCACTGAGAACTAGATTAGTTAGTGATGGATCTCTAGTTAGTGATTCAGTGATAAAATGCCAGAGCCACATTTTCTTTTCCTACATGAAAACTGACTGTTCTCAGTATTTGGACAAATATAGACCTGTGTGGATTTTCCAAAGAAAATTATTGCATTTAGCCCTGTCTTTCAAGAGCTCACTGTGACCATCCCATCATTATCCTATTGTTTTCAGGACAAGGGTGAATACATAGACTGTGTTTTCATTGCTGAGTTTAGTTGTTATAAAAAGATAAACCATTAACAAAAAGAAAAGATGGTTTTGAAACATTTTATGACAGTACTGCAAGAAACTTTTACATTCCTTGCAAAGGAAGCAACCATTTTCTGCTCATAGTTGCACAAAGTGTATTTCCCAAAAGACTGATAAACATTAAAATGATAAAAATAAACAAAAAAAAAGGGAAATCATCAGAAGTTGCAAGACTGGTTTCAATAAGTTCTGTTATTTGTTTTTAAAAAAATCAGTGCGATTTCCTCTTAGTTTTCCCCTCACTGAAAATCACACATCAGAAACCAAACAGTATAGATTTTCAGTCTATCAGTGCAACTTGGCTCAGCACTGATATAGCAAGTACATAAATTACACGAGGTATAAATATACATTCTTTTTATTCTGCTGGTTGAAAAAATGCAGTTCAGTTAGTCTGGACTACTATATGATACACTTTGCCTTTCTGTGGGATATAATTAGGAATAAACTGTAGCATCTGGGGGACTTGAGTGTTTGAAAAACATAACTTTGAATAAACAAAAAGGGAAGATGTTAGAGGTATCATATACCCTTCTTCTCACTGTGGGGAATTGAACAGGCCTTTTCCCAGCTGTCTGGTTAAGTTGCTCTTTTGTAGGTTGGTTTGCATGAGTCCCTGCAAACCTGCTTTGAGACAGGCTGTATGGCTGTGTAACCATGGGAGAACATCCTGACAGTCAGGATGAGGAGAGGAGTTTATTATTTCAGTAATTCTCTATGTTGCATTTTATGTATATATATACACATAATGTTTTTAAAATAAATGTTTAGATGTTTGCAAGTTTTATACTTTTAATTTGTTATCTGTTATATACTATGTAAATATGGGTTGCATGCATATGCAAAAATAAACTTTATAATTGTAAAATATAATACAAGCTATTGTTCACGCTAAAAACTTAGATGATTGTAAATTTTCATTTCAGGAACTCAACTGAAACAACACATTTGCACGTCTTTCTTCTTTTTCTTCCAAAGTAAAATTTCAGCACAACGATGTGAAACATTTTTAATTCAGATAGAAAAATATTTGTAAACAGAAAATGGTTAAATTAAGGCATCTACCTAGATCTTTAGACAATCAGATGTATATATAGTTCAAACATGAAGGAGCTAAGCAATACATTCCGAGCTTTACTTCCCGCTTTATTGCTTCAGTCATTACTGGAACAGGTTCATATCAAGTGCAATTTGATGTAAGTTCTTTGATTCTCATGCAATAACACCAGTTTATATCATCTAAGAACACCTGAGCTAAGGTATATTCTGCTGATCAAATTATATAAAGCTTGTATTTGTTTAAAATTCATTGCATTCTTATTATACTATTTAAATACTGCATAATTATTTTCATTTTAAAAAGTCATTTAAAGTGATGTACCAAAGATGTACAAAAGAGCTTGCGTAATTCTGATTTAGATAAGAAAAGGCAGAAAACTTGTCACGATTTCAGGAAATCCTCTGTTAGCTTGGTTTTCTTCTTACCGTACAACTAAGTTTAGAGTAATGTCAAGAAAAAATAGAGAAATGTGACTTCCCAGTTAAGTTTTGCAGTTATTGGCATATAGTTTCTGGGTTTGTCCTTGTATGGCAGACGGGGTTATCAGAAACCAATTCTGGAAATTAATTTATCTACATTACTGTATACAATTCCCAAGGACATCTGGCATTAAAGTTTTTGAAGTGCTGAGCTAAAAATATTAATTTCTGTAATTTTCTGATATATGTCCTCTGCAAGTTGTAGTATGAATTAGTTCATAAAAGTATGCAGTAGGCAAAATTTATTCAGCTGATAAAATCATTAAATGACTAATTGATGTTCATGTAAATATCTGGAACTATTTCAACATATAATTACAATGTATCTACAAGACCTTACATATACCATAGATATTTTAGCACTTAACACTTTTACAAAATTTGTTTTCAATGTAGCTTAGATGTTACAAGGTAATTAACAGAATACCTCAGATTTTGTTTATGAGACCTAACCGTAGTATGTGGCATTTTAAGTAAAAAACATTCAAAAGTTGGTAAGCTTTAGAAAACATTAGAACAGTGTTTGAAAATAAAGCTTTTATTTGCAGTTTAAAATTCTACTTCATTGCATTAAAAATAGTTTGAAATAAAGGAAAGTTAAATATAAATATTGTACAAAATGAACCTGATCTCTACAAGAAGCTGCGTAGTCACATCGAGACACTGAGATACCAAGGACCTGATCGTAGTCCATAAATCTTAGCTATTCTGGAGGAAACAGCCTACACAGCACTATTTACATGATAAATTGTAACTCAACGCTGTACATTCTCCCTTTTTTGTTCATAGACACATGATTTATTCTTTCTCTTTTAAAAATCTTTGATGCATGCCATGAAGAACAAAATTTCACAACTGGAGAAGCAGCCTATAAAAGCAAGCACTTCTAATATGAGGAGATACAGTAAAGCAGTATGTTATCATTATGAAAATGTCTGGCCTTTGTGAAACAAAGACCATTAGGATAAAAATATCTTAATTTTCTTTTTATTTGACAAGAATAATGATGTAGTTTGCACTACCTAAGCGCAAGGACTGTCTCAGCTGTTGAAATTGTGCCATGGAACAGCTCTCATTCTCTCCTGATCGTAACATGAAAATGGGGCCTACTTAAATCCTACCTATAAAAACCAGCTATAATCCCAAATCTTAACTCCATAAACCATTAGACATTTATGTCAAATATTGAGCCTGCTCATAAGATCATAAGTTCTTGGAAAGAACCTATCTGGAATCAAATAATACAGACTTGTATCTTTCTTCTTGTATGTCTACTTGTGATAATATTTTCTATTCAGTCTCTGCTCAAAACTCATCAGGATCCTACATATCATTTCCTCATACCTTCTGAATTATTCATGTTTTATAACATCACATACATGTCATCATTCACTATGTTCTGGGGGCCAGCAAAGGAAACTGTATTATTGAATGTTGGCATCAGGCAGGCATTCTGAGCTGTTTTGGGACTATTATTTCCAGTTGCTCCTGAAAAGCTGAAGATTTTTTCCCTAGGTTCCTGATTGTCACTTTTCTTCTTGTCTGTTTGCTGGTTTTCTTCCTCGATGATGCATTCTAGCTCTTCATATTCTAATTTGGTTTGCACCACTGCATGATCAGTTTGAACTATCCATTCCTAGGAGAATGAAAAGGTTGATATTGGCAGGTTCTAAGTGGTCAATCAAAAGAAATCTGTCTGTATAGACCTTTAAGTCTTTTCCTTTAAGCAATGGCATCTTTCCAGGGACAGCCACAATGGAGATGAAAAGGGAGTAACATACAGAAGCAAAAAATAATGCAAGGAACCGAGAAAGACAAGTAGGAAGACTGTTTTCCACAAGTGAATACAAGATCCTGTGACTTACAGAGAACACATTAAACAATAACATCATAGAATCATAGAATATGCTGAGTTAGAAGGGACCCACAAATATCATAGAATTATAGAACACAGAATTGCTTAAGATGGAAGGGGTGTTTAAAAGTCATCTAGTCCAACTCTCCTGTAATGAACAGGGATATCCAAAGTTAGATCAGGTTACTCAGAGCCTCATACCACCTAATTTTGAATGTCTCCAGAGATGGGTCATCCACCACTTCTCTGGGCAGCCTGTTTCAGTGCCTCATCATCCTTACTGTAAAAAGCTTCTTCCTTATATCCAACGTAGTGCTGGCTCACATTCACCTTGCCATCCACTGGTACCTCCAAGCCCTCTTCAGCAATCTGTGCTCCATCCTTACATCCTCCAGCTTGTACAATGGGAGTCACTCACTCTCATTGATTCCAACTCCTGGCTCCACAGAGGACTACCCAGAACTATAAAAACATGTTTCTGAGAGCACTGTGCAAATAAGTATTGAATTCCAGCAGCTTGGGGCAATGCATTGGAGAGCCTGTTCCATGCTCACCAGCCTCCAGTGAAGAACCATTTCCTAACCCCCAGCTGGATCCTTCCCTGAAGCAGATCCATGCCATTACTTCAGGTCCTGTTGCTGTCATCAGAGAACAGAGCTCAGTGCCTTTGGAAAACCTGGGATGTATAAAATACCCTATGTTCTTTCCTTGGTGGATTTACACATTCTTTGACCCAAGTCCTCACCTAATCTAGATTCAAACTAATTTTATATGGAGAGTTAAGCAGTTTAGCATTGTGGACTAAAGCTTCAGTGTGGATTAAAGCTGTCATTAGAAGGAATGGATGCAAATGCCACTCTGGCATCTCCCCAGATATTGTGCCTCTGGACATCCTTAAATTTTCTCTTGAAATTTTTCTGTCACTTTCTATGACAGCTCCTCTTATGCAGTACCAAAGCAGTATTACAGCGCTGATCTGTTGATGCTGCACAGGGGGAAAAGCTTTTCTCTTGGGTCAGAGGACATCTGAAGCAACATCAACCCAGAACAAGTGTTGGTAGCTGCTTTCAGATTACTCACAGCACTGCAAAGTTCATAGACTTATTTGCTAGGAAGGGAATGTTTACCTGGAAGTTTCCACTATGATCATTGAAGAGATCAGTAAATATATATTTTGGCTCTGGTATGGTAGGCATAACAGATTTCTGAAGTCTGCAAAGAGAAAAGAAGGTGTTCTGTTATGGTGTTGTCATTCATACAAACATCTATTTCAACAGATTGCTGAAGCCACAGATAAGATCTGCATGTCTGTATCCTCGGCTTCTCTTAAATATGTGTTAATATCAAAAAGTAGTATTATTACATTACTACAATAAAATAATCATCTGATGAGATTTATGCAGTATAACAGAATGATATGCCTAGTAAAATCTGGAATACATGCAAACTTGCAGCTGGGCAGCAGTGGTGTTCTGCATTATGTAGTAGTCAAAGCTTTACTGTGTTGACTGAGTTAGTAAATACAAATGTAAACACAGAAAAAAATAATTTATAATCTGAAAAGGTATATATTTTACAGTAGTGGTAAGCAGTGAAATTATACTTACCTCTGCCATTTACACAGAAGGATCAAGAGGATAAATATCATTAGAAGTAATATCATCAAACAACTTAAAAGAATTACTGTGTTTGACTGGGTTTTTATTTCATCATCACATGAATCTAGGAATAAGCAGAAGAAAGCAAGTGAAAATTTTATTGTTTGCTCTAACAGCAAATATTCCTAACCATGCTAGAACACTGACTTCTCTTATTAATTAGAAAAATAGAATAAAAATTTAGGAAGAAATAAGAAAAAAATCAGTTGTTCTTTTGAAACAGAAAAGAAAAGCTGTCTTTCCCCAAACTGTGCAACAAAATAAAATCATGTTTTATTTTTTTAAATTGACCTGTTACAGGACAAAGGAAGGTGCATATGTGCAAAGAGTAGAAGCATTCAGAATGATGATTCTCTCACTGCACTAAGGTTGATACAGCAGTTCTCTGCTAAGGTCTGTCTTACATAGACCTACCTACAGCCTCTAGAGCTGCAACTAATTTTACATGTAAACTAAACATCTTATTTCCTAAGATAAAAAGCTGTAACTGGGCTTTTACAGATAGCTAAATGTCTAATTTCCCAAAGTAAAACAAACAAACAAAAAATGTTCCCCACCCCATATACCAAAGAAGCCCACAAAATGCAAGCGCTAACGACCAGAAAGTAACTAGTGGCAGGATTCAACAGGTGTATATCTGAACCAATGAATTTTTGCAGCTTTTGGCATTCTCAGTGTTTTTCCTGCAGCTTTTGTAAAGGCACCACAAAACTGTACTTTCTCATACTGAACTTCTGCTCTTCAGATAAATATTATGGAAACTTAAGTTAATTAAATTAATTATTAGGACCAATGGTTCTATAAATAGCACTCCATAGTCACTCCTTTCCCTATGGCAGCCTGTTCCACCTGCTTGCTTTGTTTAGCCTGTCAGAAAGTCACAAGAAAAGTTGTGAACATCCAGTGAGACATTCAGAGGCTATGAATTTTCTTGAGAACTGCTTTTGTCATGTCTTCCTGTGATATGGAGGCAGTCACTCCTTGAAGTCCTGAAGGGAAATGCTTTCTCCATTGAAGGGGCTGTGCCACGGTCATTTATGATAGAGGGACACTCAAAACAACTATTAGTTTGTCTTTTCTGCACTTGCCATCTACATACATGCCTGCTGATAACCTCTGGTCTAATGTTGTGGGTAGGGCTGCCATGTTCTCACTTCTCAAAAGTACACATTGTCTTCTGTGTTTCTGAAAGACATTGTCTGCCACAGCAGAGGACAGCAGGTTCACAGTCTGCATGGTACAGCAGACTTCTCTGGAGGTCAGCACTGTTCCTACCACTAGTGCACAAGTAGCACATCCTTATGCTCCAGGATTTCAGCCTAACTTTGTGTATACTTTCTTTGGATGAGTTAGTTGTATTATAGAAAACTCAGGTCTGGGTAGAATGGACGTTTGGGTGTTCTCATAATTCCAACAAAGCCTAGTGGGTGGAATTCTGTGGTAAGCTGATATGAATCATAGAATTTTTAAGTTTGGAAAAGACTTCTGAGATAATCTAGTCCAGCCATCATCCCCATCATATCCAGAAACCATGACCTCAAATGCCACATTTGCACATTTCTTGAACACCTCTGGGAATGATAACTCCACCACCTCCCTGGGCAGCCTGTATTGCCTTGGGATAGTGTACATTCTGTTTTACAAGAAATCTGTTTTTTGTTTTGATATCCAGTAGATGTAGTTTCCATCAAAGGTCTAATTGAAACCAATTACATATAGTTAAATGAGTCTTCCTGGTGGGAAAGCAATGTTGTTAATAACTTTGCTCCTATTTCATGTTTCCCCCATTTTCAGCAAATATGAACACCAGACAGTTACAACCTCTGGTCCTATAGCACTACTAGATGTATTTTAAAGCAATCGGTCTTAAAAAATTGAGCGTAAAGGTTTTTCTTAGAGTTCAAGTTTTATGTTAATGTATCATCTGTCACCAAAGTGCCTGCGTATGTTTATGTTTTACATAAATATGTAAATCCAAATATATTTGTGGATGTGTGTATATAAATATATATACACAAAATATATACACAGCATGCAACACTTCACTGTCACCGGGGGATCCTAGACACTACTGTAACACAAATAATAAGGACATTTTTAACTTTGTAAATAAATGCATAAATTTGTAGTGTTATGAGTCATCAGGAACAAAATTTCTTTGATAACAGAAGATGGAACATAGTGCAACATAAAACTGATTGCACATTCTCAACTTCTTTTGCAGTCACCTCTTACCAGTTTGCACTTAGACAAGACATGAATATAGCACAGCTGTTACCTAGTAATGTGCTATTCATCCAAAATGTTTCTGCTTCCCAGTCACTGCTGTAATCAACTACGTTGCAAGAGGGTACTATCCTCTTCAGTCTGACCCGAAAAGAATAGCATTTCCTTGGATCAAAGCCTTGCTCTCCAACTCTGCAACACTTAGAAGTTCTGGACTGAGAAGGAAGGTGTATAATTGTTAATTCCAGTTTTCAAGACAGAATGCTTGAATGCTACACTTCATTATGATCATGACTAGGACAAGGAGTAGACCAAAACCTCAGAAATAAAATTTTGTTTCTCTGAATTCTGAGGAATTCTGCTTCTTGACCTATTCTTTCCCATTCATCCCCGTTGTTCATTATCTGACAATGAGCTAAAGAGCCTAACAGTTATCATACAGAGTACTATGTTACACTTTCTGCTTACAGTATACAAAAAGGAGTCTGTAATTCACAAAATTTTTACAACTTTTACAGGTGCCTGGGTAGATTTAAGTCCATGAAATAATATGTAAATAACAGCTAGCCAGAATAAAAAAAATCCTGTATCATCTTTTTTCTTTCCTTTTATTTCATGCTCTTTCTCTATTAACTCTATTCAGCTTTCTGCTTTTATCTTCCAAGGCTGTTCTGTATATATGAACTTCCTTTTACATTGTCCCCTGTTCTTTGTGTCTGTGAGTAGATATAACTCAAAAAGTAAATGAGTTTTGGTATGGTAGAGTTCTATGATCTGTATGGGAACTGTTGCATCACAGTCTGAACCTCTGATTAATCACCTTTGGCAAGCAATGAGTCAACTTTGGGAGCACAGGTGAAAGCAGTTCACCTGTGTGACTGGAAGGGGTGGAGCCTGGCTCCACCTCTCTTAGACCCCATTTAAGGGCTGACTGCCACCAAGGAGATTTCAATCTCCACTTTCTGGAGATTGCTCCCTTTGGAGTTTTTCTGTGAGCCTAGGACACAGATGAGCATTTTCATTTATTTTTGATTATCCCTTTCCACTATGATAATCCTTCTAGTTATATGACCTGTAAAATACCAAGCTAACCACACCACTCTGTTAATTGTAAATTTGTTCATTGTACAGATAAAAAAAATCCAACAGGGTTCTCCTACAAACTACTTCAAATGTAAAGGAGAAGAGCACAATCAGAAAACAACCAGGCTTTATATTCTTTGGAGATGATATTTCCAGCTCCTTCCAACACTGATTGAATGTGCCATATTCAACTCACTTGCCATCCTCTGTCATATTTGCTTTTGTATTGAAGCTCAAGTCTCAAGCACTTCACACCTTTTTCTGGTTTATTACATGTAACAGTAACAGTGTCATCCTTCCAGAAGAAGGTCACATTTTCTGGTCGATTCGGCTTTACTAAGGAAAAGAGGAAAAAAAAACATGCAATATCCTCTTAAAACTGAGTATTCTTAAATTAATTCCTTCCATCTCTCCATGTTTTCCTGAGTTGCAAAGTGAATATTCCTCTTACATGATGCACTTTTGCAGCTAACCTCCTTACTAAATGTCAAAATGTACCACTATGACATTCCTCGACAATGGAGGTGCCACGTTTGAGGGTAAATGTCATCTCAATTCAGGAAAACTTGAAACTACTTAAAGAAGGACTCTGATCTTCTTTCAGTTCCTTTGGTTTAAGAGAAAGGAAGATTCTTCTGTGTTAGAAAGGGATTGACAGATTCAGTACCACTAAACATACAAGACATGCGTTCATCTTCTGGAGGCAGTGTGGGATATGCTGAGATATATGGAAAAAACACTGGGTGTCTACTTGTGTGTAACTGAATCTATCCCTTGCTATTTTCAGGTGGTCCAAGAGAATGCAATGGTTTGACCTATGTAATTGTGTGCCTTGCCTTCCTAATTGCAAAACGGATGTCAAACTTTCATTATTTCTGCTTTGTTATCTAATGCTTTTGAAATTAATTTTGGTATCAGTGGGAGTTTAATAGCCAAAATTTGGGGACCAGGCTGCAATGAATTTTCCACAGTTTACCATATGATATACAAAAAAGTATTCTCAAAGTTAAATATTTTAACAGTTTTTAGATTTATCTTTTTTCCTAAAACATTCATAATAAGCTCTAAATGTATATTTGGATGATAATGGCTTTTCCAGATTCTTTCTTCCTGCCTTATTTTCTGCTTGGTATTTATTAGGGGAAAAAAAAAAGAAAGAAAGAAAGAAAGAAAAAAATCCTTCACTTTAAGCACTGTATCTATGTGTAATACCAGAAAATGTAAAACAGGAATATAAAATCTGTTATAGTAAGACTTGAAATTAACAAGTTGCATTTGTTTTCTGACATGAATACTGAGTAGGCCTACAATATGCCAAGTATATCCATATATTTTATTTTAATTCTAATCTTGAAACTACATTTTGGGACAAATCTTGCTGTCCAAAGTAATCCCACCTAGTTACAGCTGCACATGTAACTATTGATGACAGAAAGGGATGAAAATCGGCATGCATAATTCCAAATACTGATAGTTTGTTTATTGTATACACTAACAGCATTTTATACAGACAGAAAAATGATTTCTTCTCACACTAAGCACAAGTAGAGAATGAATGGGGACACCAGGACTACCAAAATATATAGTTTTGATTTTAAATACTTACTATAGAAATCGGATTTCAGTCTTTTAGTAAAAAGCTCTTCACTTCCATTGCTGTTCATGATTGAGAAAGCAAGGGTGTATCCTTCTGTGTTAAAAAGACATCCTGAATTATAACCTTGTGTCAATAGATACGTGGGACATGTTTTCCAGTATTTCTGCTTGCTTTCTTTAAATCTGGAAATTAAAAAATATCAATGAATAGAAATACTCATATCAGGACATAAAAGCTAATTCCTTTTTGCAACTATATTTTTCTTTGTTTTCTTTCAGTGGTTCTACAAAGACAATCCACATACAGAACTTGAAGAAGGAAATTTCATTATGGTTTGAGGCAATTCATTAGCATGACCTCATTGACTTTCCAGTCCTTGGATTTGGTGCAGTCTGAAACTAACAAGTTTCCTTTGTGTTAGCTTGTTTTGTTTTTCTCTAAAAAGAGAATAGCTTATTCAAACTGATGTTATCATAAGCCTTTTTTCAAGATTGTGCTGTTAGTTCTTTCATGTATATCAACCAGAAAGGAAAGGGAATGTAAAGCTTTATGACTACCTTCAACCAAAACATTGAGTTTCTGTTGCGTAAATAACATCTCTTATACAAAATATACATACTTAATATACATAATATACATACTAAAATATGCAGAAAAATACTTTCAACAGTGTAATTAACATCAACATTTAGCAAAAAAAAAAAAAAAAAAAAAAAAAGATGGTTTCATATCTATTATCACAATCTAATGGGATAAGACAAAGGGGAATGGCTCCAAACTAAAAGAGGGGAAGTTTACATTAGATGTTAGGAAAAAATTATTTACTCAGAGGGTGATGAGACACTGGCATAGGCTGCCCAGAGAAGCTGTGGATGTCCCATCCCTGGAGGTGTTCAAGGCCAGGTTGGATGGGGCCCTGAGCAGCTTGATCTGATGGGGGGCAGCCCTGCCCATGGCAGAGAGTTGAAGTTCAATGATCTCCTCCAGCCCAAGCTGTTCTATGATTCTATGATCTATTACAGCTGATTATTCAGCAGGTTTACGGGTTTATACAACTTTGTAGCAGGATATGAATATAAACAAGTTTCCTCTTGAATGATTACAAAAATGTTAAGAAAGTTTAATGTATAGTTCAGAGATGACTTAAATAACTTTGATATTTTAGCTTCCCCAAGTAAATCTTATAGGGAGAGAAGCATAGGCATTATCAATACTCACATATAAGAAAATGACACATTCTTGCCAGGAAATAGTTTTCTTGTTGCCCATGTGATCTGCATTTTTTCATTATTGAAATTGATTATTGTGGTGCTGATGGCATCTTCCTGACCTGTCCAGTACATTTACAGACAATATGAATTCAGCACTGAGTATGAGAAACTCCATATTTGTAGGCAGTCGGTATTTCAAAGATGTTTATGCCATAAGCTCAGATAATCATAATATATATGTGTAAGAATATATATAGTATACATATTTATGTAACACTTATACATATTATATATGTGACATGAACATGCCTAAAAAGCAAGGAGACAGAATATAATACTCTAGAGAAACTAAAACTAGAATTTCAAAAGAGCAAAATGAAACTATGTGCAGCAACATCAGAAAGAACCCAATGGTTCCTGGCCCAAAAGGTGTAGGCTGTGCACAGTGCCTAAATAACAAAGCCAGCTTTATTCCATAGTACCTGGTAAGATTTTCCTGCTGAAGAGAACTATTTGGGAACCAATGCAACATGAATTCTCTGTGTAACTCTGATCTTTACTACAGGAAACAAGGACTCACACCATAGACTTACAGTAGATGGATAAGGTAGACACACAGGATACCCACATAGATAAGCAAAACTAGCTGAACATTTAGTCTGAGTGGTCTTGGCCCATTCCAGCTTATAGGCTTTCTCAAAGCAAAATAATTTGATGTTCCCTGGCTGCACATGGGTTTTTTTTTCTTCTCCTGGCCTTCTCTTTGTTATAGCTCTTTCTGGGGACGGATATTTTTGATTTGTGTCCATCAGGATTCCACACTTAAACACTCAAGATAACTCTGACCATGAAAAATGAAAAGCCAGAAAGAGTAGAAAACCACAATAGAAATTTTTCAAGAAGAAAGACAAATTATTTATTTTGAATTCTGTAAGATGTGAAATTATATTTAGTTGAATGAAAAAAAAGAAAAAGAGAAAATATCAGTAACTAAGGAGAGACTATAAGAAGGAATGAGATAGATTCTTTAGCAGGGCCTGTTGCGATAGGAAAAGGGGAAATGGTTTCATAATAAAATAGGTGAGGCACCGGACATAAAGAAGAAGCTTTTTACGGTAAGTGTAGTGAAGCACTGGCATAGGCTGTCCAGTGAGGTATTGGATGTCTGGTCTCCAGAGACATACAAGATCAGTCTGGACAGAGCTCTGAGCAACCTAATGCAGCTGTAGGTGTCCCTGTTCATTGCAGGGGAGTTGAACTAGATGAGCCTTAACGTCCCTTCAAACTCAAACGCTTCTGTGATTCTACAAAAATATATCATGAATATTGCAACCTTCTGAGGGTAAAATTTGCAGGCTCTTGTCTCCAGGCATGAAATGTCTGCCGCTAAAAACTTCTGCAGGAACATTCCTACCTAGAGGAGAATAGAGGATTCTGACTCTGATCCCTGTTTAAACATTTCTGATGACCTGTTTATTACAGTTAATGATCCTGAATATTCATAATAATCAGGCCTACATATTTTCCAGTTTGCTATTGCTCAATAATCAACACTAAGAATGTAAAAAATCCATGTGGAAACACTTGGGTTCAAATAATTGTATTGTCCAACTATTTTCAGGGCTGCATCTCTGCTTAATAATTCTGCGATTAGAGCTTGTCAAGATATTTTTGCATAGGTATCATTGTGTTCGTACATCATTCTTTCAAAATCTCTCTTGAAACAGGTGTGACAGAAATCCAAGAGCAAATGTAGCTGCAGATCCCTGCTACACTATTCACAGAGCTCTAAGAAAAAGAGATGGTACTCCTGTGCAAGAGAAATTCTTGAACAGAAATCCTCTGTTTCCTAACTAGAGGCTGCAGACTTGTTCTACATTGTTTTCTCAAACTAAAACTTTTATGTTTCTCTGACGAATGGAGAAGTAAATGTACTGAAACAAAACAGAACTTAAAAACTTTGAAAGCTGTCATAACATGGATTTTATCCAGACAACTTTGTCTCTATACAAGAAACTAGCCCTTGTTTCCTTACTCTCCAAGCCCCTCAGCAAGTCTTAGAGATCGTCTTGTCTTTAACTGAAGCCACTAATATAGCAAAATGTCTGACAGTGGATTATTAGTCTACAAATATACTTAACAAGTTTTAATTTTTATGAACTAAATTTTAGCATGCGTATGCTACGTAGTTTATGTAGTGTTATGATTAGTATAACAGAAATCTATGACTATTTGTATGCAGATTTTCTATAAAAATAGCAAAATGTATATTTAGCATATTTGAATATATAATTATATATTCTCCATTAAACAAAATTAGTTCTATTAAAAAAAAAATGTTAGTGTATCGAACTAATTTTTATATGGAACAGTAACTCTTGGGTTTTGCAATGCATGTTTTTGGATGACAGAGAAGAATATCAGTATAACTCCAGTCTGGCAGTAACTTATGAACAAACTTTGCACTTTCTGAGTAGTCCACTTGACTTCCTAGTATTACTCAAGCACACTACCTTAACATTCTATATAAATCAGATCCTTTTTCTGTTCAAAACAAATACAGAACCAAACCAAACAAAAGAAGTTGCATATTATGATTTTGAACTCTGAGATTTTAACGTTTAAATATAAACTCCAATACCTAAAATGGAAGATATTACACTATTGGAAACCTTCACAATAAATATAATTATGTATAGAAATGGAACTCAGAATGTACTGAACACTTGGTGATATACACATATTTTTCCTATGTTCTATCTTTAAATGACTTCATCAGAAATCTTAACATAATTTATAACTTTGAAATGCATTCAGCTATATAATATAGAAAAGTTTTTGAAAAAAACTGTTATTATTAAAAGTCTTGCTTCCACACCTCCAGTTAGTGCAATTTTTATACTATGCTTTCTAATTTAATGGGATTTGTAGTCTTATTATTGTGGCACGAGCTGCCTTTGTGTCAGTGAGCAAAAAAAATTATGTGCATCTTTTCAAAACATAGCATGTAACTGTTGCATTATTTATATTTCCTTGCTTTTTCAACTTGAAAAGATGCAAATCCTGATTAAAGTTTTTAATGTTTGGTTTAAGTTGATATCAAACACTAAGGATATGGATAGGTTATATGAAATAATGTTTCTTACTGATGATCTTTCCTTTGCCTTTAACAGGAAAGGTTTTTAGTTTCTTTCTTTATTTCATTTTACTATCTTTATTATTTTATGTTATTTTTAATCACCTACACTTAAGGATGCAGAATCATTCCTATCTTTTTTTTGGTGGAATGAGATACAGAGAAAGAGAGGAGAGACGACTGTTCATCTCTCTTCCTTTATGGATCCACCTGTAATAACCTGGATTATTCTCAGCTAATGTGCCAGATCTTTCACAGTAACTGCAATATTTTAAAGCATCATCCTATGGAGTACAGTATTGCATTTAATTATTTTTTGTGTTACGGTAATGGTGAGATAAAAGGTCATAAATATAGTGAAAGGAGGCCTAAGGAGGGATGGCAAAAGCTTTCTGTCCAAGGATGACCTTTCAAACTGTCTAGGAGGGTAGATAACAGTATGTTGCAGAAGTATAGAATGCATACCAGAACTCTTGAACATCAGTCAGAAGGAATAATCAAAGTCTAAATCTTCAGTAAAATCAGAGAGAAAATGGTAGGGCTCTACACTAGACTTAATCTCACATATCGCTATAGTGTGTACAGAAAGTACTGTTACAGACCAAGAAAATGGAAATTACCTTGAGCAATACATTATAAGGACACAACCATGAGCAAGAACATGAGCAATTATATTCCACCTCCAAACCACTTTTCAAATTTCATTGCTAAGAAAATTTTCTATTGAAGGGGAACTTTGTTAAAAGCCCAAATGTCATGGAGCAGATCAAAAAGGAAAAAAAGAAATAGAATGTCAATCTGCAAAGATAACAGTGGAATGTACATGTACAGGAACAGATGAAACCTCATTGAAGGCAAACAAAAAAGAAAAATCACTTTTGATTTCTTCACACTGATGAAACCTGATAAGTAACCACATATTGAACTTACACATAGTGCAGTAGTTCTGTGTATAGAAACAAATGGAGAGATATACGCAAAACTGAGCCTACACCCTAGTTACTCATATATGAGAACAGTTTCATTTCATTAACTGGAACACATGTAAGTGAAAGTGCAACTTCTTGCACACAAGGTTGCTGAAATGTGTGCTCAGGGCTGACTGAGTAGAAAACTTATTTTCAGTGGAATTAATAGGACAGCAACAGAAGGCTTTTATAGACATTTTGAAGCAAAGCATACTCCTTATAGTATAATTCTCATAACTCATCAAATTGATCAGTGCAGGGTTTGTTTGTTTGTTTGTTTGGGATTTGATGTTGTTGTTATTTGATTGGTTTTGTGGTTTGGGTTTTTGGCTTTTTTTATTTGTACGTTTGTTTTCAGTAGAAGCTTGACTAACTGTAGACATCACCATATTTTGCATTAAATAAGAACCAGAATGCTGATTTTCAGCGTTTGTCCCACAAAGTCATAACATCTCAGAGTAGAATCAAGTCCCCTCACAAAAAAAGCCAACAACTCACAAGAGCCATTAACTCTGAAGAATTAATCAGTGTTGCATCGCTGAAAAAAGTACGTATCATACATACAGCAGAACACAGGGTTGATTTATAGGTTGATAAGAGGAAGGAATAGCTTTAGAGTTCTCGAATGATGGGGTCCTTGTGATAAAATAATGAATGAGTATTAAATTATCAGACTATATTTTGGGATTTTTTAATGATTTCTTCAAGATTCCATTTATCTTTAGTGAACTACGAGTAACAGCACTGCAATCAAACACATAACCAGAGATGTTCTTGCAGGTAGGCACACAATGAATCTTTAAATCTTTTGTTAATTTTGCTTTATAAAATTATTTTTACCTTGTTGTTTTTACAGGCACAAAATATTGCTGAATATTTCCCAACCTTTCATTTTTCCAGAATAGTAAATGATGAAGTCTTACCTGGAATTCATTTTATTCAACTTTTTTTCAGTGAGAAAACTGTAGTCTGTTTCAGATTCAGTCCACTCTATCAGAATCTATGCATTCCTTGGATGGAAAGTATTCTTGCTTAAAGATTTGAAAATTTTTCTCCGTAACAGTAGACATAAGCTTACAGAGTTCTTTCTTTATTTTTATTTAGAAAATTGGGTACATTTCTCTTAATCTCATCATCACTCTTGTTGTTTGTTTGTTTTTTCTAAGAATCCACATTTACCTCTTTTGAATCTCAATTTCTGTTTTGTTGATTTTTTTTTCGGCAAAAAAAGTAACGAATACTGTAACACATAAAGTAGGTTACCCACAGAAATATTAGTAATTAATGTATCGATTTCTTAAATAAACATTGATGGATTTGAACTTACCAAATGATTGTGATAGAGCACCCACTAAGTTGACCAGTGTGAAGATCACTGAACATTCTTGAAAGATGAGTCTCATGGTTTGAATGACGCAACAGACTGTAAAGAGATGAATAATTACAATCCTTGGTCTTTACTATTTGATCACTTTATACAAGAGACAGGAGGGAACTAGAGGAAATGACTACAGGAAATTTAAAAATTACTATCTCTAGCAACAAACAAATCAGAACTGTAGAACTTCAGAATGCATACTTTCTTTGCACTATGTAATAATATTAATAATAGAATAAATTCACAGAATAAAACTGTCAATCTTATCAATACTTGCTTTGCTTTATCTTATTACGATACCACAGGTGATGACAACCATGATCCAAACAAGGATTATGTAGTTGTGAGTAGCAGTGACCATACCATACACCTGAGCACACTGATTTAGCATGCCCGGGGACCATACGGTAGGGGAGGACCAAGCAGCCTGCCTCCTCCCCACTTACTAATAAGACATGTTCCTGTCACTCCATATGCTTGGTGCACTTCACATGACGTTATACACCTCTGTCCAAAGATCAGAGGCAGAATTAGTGGACCTTCTGTGCCAGGGAAAAGTGGGCTGCTGAGGGTGAGGAGGCTGTTACACAAGAGGTAGCACTACAATGTATTTCCTCCTGCATTACCTGCTGCTATAGAGTCTTATCAGTTTTGTAACATCAGCAAAGTTCCCAGCCAGATGATATGGTACCAGTTGTGATCTGTCTGTTCACTTTTCTTGCGTTGGCTTCTTTCACCTATTTATCCATTACACATGCCAGGAAGATCTATTCAAATTTCAGCAAGTCTTGGAAACTCCATTCTGACACACATGCATTACTCTTTTGCCTGTCTAGTCCCTGCTTTGACCAAGTTCCTCTAAGGAGGCATTAATTCCTGGAATGAAAATAACAAGAAACAGATAATTGAAATACTGAACTGGGTTATTTTTGCAGCTGATGACAAACAGCAGATTTGGAACTCAGTGGCTAAATCTAGCAAAGCCTGTGCACTTCAGAACTTACTCTCATGCCAGAAGAATTGCCCAATCACTCACCCAAACAGATTCTGCTTTCTTGCTTTCTTGAATAAATCTCTGATTACTTGGTATGATTTTTCTTCAAATATGAATAATCCCAATCCATGAACTGAAAAGTTGTCTGTGGGCCAAGGGTTCTGTTCTTCTTGAGTTTACGTCTCTAAATGTGTAATTGATTAACTTGCCCACATCCTCAGGGTCACTGCGGCTATGAGGACAAGGCCAGAGTGTACAAAACCGTGTACTCTCCTAGTGGTTCTTACACAATACAGCACTGGCATGTTTAGCCTGAAAAAACTACTAACACTGCAACTTCACTCAGCAACAGTGAAATAAAAGAGTGAGAGTGAGCTGATAATTTGCAGTCAGTGTTTGTGATTTTTATTGCCAGTAGAGAAAAAGGCAAAGAAGATACTCTGAGAAGTATGGTGCTTTTTTACTTATGACCCAACCTAGAACTTCTGCAAGCCAAACAAAAGAAATGCTTTTGTCTTCATTTTGAACTTTATATTAAATTGCACAAGCAGCCGCGCAGTTTAGAGGACTCTCTGCTGAGTCCTCTACCCATGGTAGCTGCTCTCAGATGTTCTTCCTTCCTTTTTATACCTTTTAGTTTTTCAGTTCTTTTGTCATCATCAGCGTGAAGCAGGTGTTTGATCAACACGTAGTTCAGAAAAGCAAATTGTCTCAAGTTTATTTCTTTCTTCACCTAGAACATAAACAAACAATATCCCGTGAGCAACTTTCATTCGATATTTACTCTTGGCCTTGATCTACAAGATAACACGCTAAAAATACATAGATAATCTCATTTCTACAATGATGATTGCTTTTGATTTTTAATATTAGGAGGAGATAATGCCAGTGTGCTTAGAGTATGTGGAATAAAGAACAGGGAATCCTATCACGCCATGGCAAATCAGCTCAGTCCACAAGAGTCAGATCAGCCTTTTATTCTCATAGCAGAATCTGGTTCTCTTTGGTAATCTGCTGCAAACTGAAGTGTGTGTAGAGATCTCCACTGTGCATTTTGGGGCCCATCTCTCACCCATGGGAAGCTTAGAGAATTAAAAGTCAAAGGTCTCTGGCATTTTAAAAATTCATGCTCTTGTACAGCCACTTCAGAACCAAGCAATGATGCCATCATAGCAGCTGTGAAATGGTGGGTCACCACTGCTGGTGAAGATTTGTATGAGTGCAGCCATGCTGATGAAAATGCATAGTTTATCGTGGTGACTATGTCAACAAATAGTATTTTGCAGCTGAGAATTACTCTATCAAACACTCTTATTGTGCTCTTCGTATCTGTTGTAGTTTCTGTGGAAGTAAATAGGAGGCATTGCTTTCGAAGATACTTATGTATCTTCGAGCATAAAGATTTGGTAAAATACAGCCAGGAAAGATGATAGAGCCGCTGATACTGCAAACCATTTCCAAATATGTGAAATCATGTCCAACAATCCTGATAACATTCTACTGCAAGGTCAATTAGGGGAAAGAAGTGGGTACTTACTTTATTAAGGCATTTTAAACTCTCTCTCATAACATCATCATTGAAAAATTGACAATATACAGGTTGGATCAAAGTTAGGTGGATTGAAAACTGGCTGAACTAGAAGGGCCATTGGGTTGTGATTAATGGCATGAAGTTCAGTTGGAGGTGAGCAACTAGTGGTGTACCACAGGAGTCAGTAGTGTGACCAATAAAGATTAACATCTTTATGACTTTGATGCTGGGACAGGGTGCATCTGCAGCAAGTATTCAGACCATGTAAAACTGGTAGAAGTGGCTGATAAACCAAATGGTGCAGCCATTCTGAGGGACCTGAAGAAGCTGGAAAATTGGGCAGAGAACTTCATGAACCTCAGGAAAATTAAATACAAAGTCCTGAATCTGAGAATGCACAACAGTGAGAATCAGTTCATGTTGAGATCTGATTGTCTGTCCTTCTTCAGAGAGTGAGCTTGAGAGTACTGATGGACAAGAAGATGAAAACGAGCCAGTAATGCAAAGATCAATGATCTCCTATACTATACTAGGCAGAGTATTGCCAGCAGGTTGAGGAAGGTGATCCTTCTTGTTTCAGATCTGGTGAGACACATCTGGAGTGATGGGTCCAGTTCTAAGCTCACCAATACAAGAAAGACATAAACTTAATGGATCAAGTTCAGTGCAAGCTCACAAATATGATCAAAGATCAGGAGTATATTTCATACAAGAAAAGGTTTAGATATAGGACTATTTAGTGTAGAGAGGGCTCAAGGAGGTCATAGCCATGTGGGTAAAATAGCTGATGGAGGAAGTAAAGAAGATGGAACCAAATTTCTCAGTGGTGACCTGTGACAGAACAAGAGGTAATGGATACAAACTGAAAAAAATTATGAAATTCAATCTGAAGAAAATACTTTGTACTGTGAAGGTGGTCAAAAAGCAGTAATAAGTTGCCCGAAGAGTTTGTAGAGACTCCATGTTCAGAGTTGCTGAAAATTCAATTGGACACAGTTCTGGGCAACTAATCAATCCCACTTGTGCAGAGAGTTAGATTAAATGTTTTCAAGGGATTCATCTCCAACCTCAATCATTCCATGTTGGTGGGGAAAAAAAACAAAAAAACAAAAACAAAAACAAACAAACAACAACAACAAAAAAAAAAACCACAAAAAAAACAGGCAATATCACACCTCTGAATTTGCATATCTGAAATTCTAGAGCAATTCCCAAGGACGTCGTACAGCTAGAGAAGAGAGAGAAGAGCTACAAGGAAAAACAGAGGTAGAGAGCAATATTTGTAAGAGGTAAAACTGAAGGGGCTGATGCTTTGCAACTTAAAGAAAAGGCAACTGGGTAGAGAATTGGTAAAAGTCTAGAAGTTCATAAATAACGAAAAGGGAGTGACTGCCTTTTCTCACTACCTGAGGTTTCCTAAAAAAATGCAATTATGAGACACCAAAAATTATCAGGTAATACTATTCCTGAAAATATATCTTTAAGCAATGGACTGTGCTCCACAGGGAGCAAGCTGCAGTTTTGCAAATGGTACTATATTTTTGACAGATGTAGGAATGTTGATACAGCTAACAACAAGAGCTAAGCAGGAAACAAGAGCAGGCAGATGGTGAATGAAAGAGGAAGGAGAGAAAAACACTTTTTCAGTTCACAAAAAACAAGACCTGATATGATCAAAAAAGGAATGATCAGGAACCTGAAGTTTTTATCATTATAGATAGGTAAGAAAAATGAACTGCACAAAACGTGCCCTAGAGATAGAATATCAGATTATGATCAAGTAATCTGATTTTTCACGTGTGAAAATACCAGTAAATTTTACCTCATAAATCCCATGCTGACAATGTGGGCATATTCAATCATAAAATCTGAACTAACTTTTCCTTCTTTATTTCTCTGGGCAGATATGCAATAGCTACATCCAATAACTTTGTATAGGGAGTCAAATCCATCTCTTAGACTGTCAAGTTGATCTCTCTGCTGCAGGAATTCACTTTTAAGAAGGAAAGGGAGATTGTTCTAGATGAAGCAAAGATTAAGCTGTGTTTGTGTGTGTATGTGAGAAAACTGTCTTTCTAACTTTAAATGCAAGCAAGCATAATTATAGATTCCATGCATGATTGTTCTACAGAGATGCATCACTGAAGAGCACTGAAGGTTTCCTGCTGCTTTGCACTCATTTAAATGATATCATTACAATCTGCTGAACAGCATTTACCTTCTGAACTTATTGGAAACTTTAAGCTTTCATTCACTCTCATGCACTGCCTGTTGAGCTAGTTGTAGCCACAGTAAGCATGTAGTTAAAAGTTTGAACTCACCAAAAACACTGCAGAGAGCCATGCATAAAAACAGTCAGTTTTACCAGTGCCATTCTCATTCAGCACTGTCCTATACATGTGTCTCATACTTAATTTCTACTGGTGACAATACCTATATCAAGAGAAGTGTAACACTGAAAAAATACATAGGTACTGTTGCAGTAGATGAAGTCATACCATAAAAATTATTTCAGAAGATCAT